ATTAGCCGTAATTTTCTCGTTTTTTGTCCTCCTGGCGATTTTTTGATCTGAGTGGTAGCGTGCCCTTATCCTGTTAGGCCAATTTTATCTCGTTGATTTTATTGTTATAACAGTGTCGTCCTCTAATTCACATAACTAATTCTAGCTAGTCATTTAGCGTTATACTTCGTAACTATCTGTAATAATTCAGCATAACTTCTTTGTCTCTTAATTACACCCATTTGCTCGTATCGATCGTAGTTATTTTTAAAATGACGAAGCAGTCTCCTTGTGGAATTTGCTGCAAGATCGTCGGACATAGAGCTAATGCGGTTTCATGCAGTCTCTGCAGCGCAAGGCTTCATATTTCGTGCGTTGGTCTGACTGTAGACCAATTTCGTATAATTCAGGGCATTAAGAGCGAATTTTTGAAGACCGTTTGTAAGCAATGCCAAGCTAATCTTGTGCAGAATAAAACGGACACGTCTAACAAGCGGGTCAGCACAACGAACTGCTCTAAAATGCCCAGCTCGCCTTGTGCTTCACCACAGTCAGTGAAGCTGCCAACGCCTAGTACCTCGTCGCATCCATCTCGGAAACAAGGTACTAAAGTTTCATCAGACTCTCCCTCAAGACCTACTATATGTTCAGCTGACAGTAAAGTTCCAATTTGCAATAAACAAACTGAGGATAACGATTGGAGAGTACAAACATCGAAGAAACCAAGACCAATATCTAATGACCTGAGGCGCCGTAGCCTCATGGTCTTTTACGCACCTGAATCAGGGGATTCTAATCCTCAGGTGCGTTATGCACATGACGTCGAATATTTGCAATCATTGATTGACAAACTACTCGATGTAAATGAGGACGGGCTCAAAGTTCAACAGATCGCCCGTCTAGGAAAGAGAATGGAGGGCAAAAGTCGGCCCATGAGGGTGACATTTGCCGAAGAAGCAAGTACCAAGTTACTATTGTCTCGCCTTAATAGGCTGAAGGGTATGAAGATCCACGTGCGCGCTGACTTAGAACCGGCAGACAGAGAGAAACTCAAGTCTGCCATGATTGAACTAAAGCGGCGCAAGGAGGATGGAGAAACAAACCTCCGAATCGTAAATTTTCGAGTAGTTGCCCGGGTTCCTCCACGAATCCGGATCAACAGGTTGCTAATACTTCAGGCGCGCCCAGCGGGTCCTACCGCGGTCTGCGCGTAGCCTTTACTAACGTATGCAGTTTGATGAACAAGCGCGATGTGCTGTACGACTTTGTGAGCTCTCAGCGACCGGACGTATTAGGCCTTGCTGAGACCACTCAGTGATCATAGGCAGTTTAGGACTACCGCTACCGTATCCTCTTCCACTAGAGTCAGCCTTCAACTATTGGAAGGCGGAGTTTAATGGCCTCATTCGAGCAGCGAGCCAGATAGACTGGTCTTTACCACAGGATTCATCTATTGAAACCTGTTGGGCTATCGTTAAAGAGGGAGTGAAATCGTTGTGCGCCCGATTTGTGCCCCTCAAATTTCGGAAAGTTGGGCAGTCAAACCACATTGGTTTGACAAAGAGTACAACAAAATGGCCCGACGGCGACGTAGACTATGGAACAAATTCGTGTTATCTGGCTCTGATGAGGACTACAATGCCTACAAGGTACAGCGAAATCGCTGCAACAACGCGAAAACAAGAAAACGCAGAAGCTTCGAAGAGGAGCTTGCAACTGCCGCAAAATCTGCTCCCAAGAGGATCTTCGCATATGTGAAGCGGCGCCTAAGACCTATAGCTAGTATCCCAGTGTTAGAAGGCTCAGAAGGACAGCCTCTAACCTCGAGTACAGATCGTGCGTCAGCATTGGCAACGCACTTCGCCTCCGTATTCGCAAGTGACCAGATGTCTGTAATGAGTTCGACGAGCACCGCTCCAGCCGAACTTAACAGCCTGGACTGCAATATTGAGGATGTGCGCAAGATTCTAGCAAATCTTGACGGGACGAAACCTGCTGGGCCAGATGGTATACACCCACTAATCCTCAAGTCATTATCGACCATAATTGCACCTTCTGTAGCTGAACTGTTTAACAGGTCACTATCCACTGGTCTACTACCAGACGACTGGAAATGCTCAGTCGTAAAGCCTATACCGAAAGGTGGTAACCCAAGCAAAGTGGATAACTACCGGCCGATCTGCCTGACGGCAGTTTTGGCAAAGACGCTCGAGAAGATAGTGAAGAAGAGCCTTCTGCAACTTCTCGAGTCGAAAAACCTGTTAACCTCAGCACAGCATGGTTTCCTGAAAGGTCGTTCGTGCATCACCAACCTACTGTTGACGAGGCACGGATGGTTACAAGCGCTGAACAAAGGCCAATCGGTTGACGTCATTTACATTGACTTCAGTAAGGCTTTTGACAAGGTTAACCATGCAGTGCTCCTTGACAGACTGAGGATGTGCGGTGTTGGTGGTTCGCTGCACCAATGGATCAGCAATTTCCTTATTGATCGAAAGTGGAGAGTCCAGGTGGACAACCATCTAACAGACTGGTATCCATCGAGCAGCGGCGTGCCCCAAGGCACTGTACTGGGCCCGATATTGTTTCTAATCCATATAAACGATGTGCCTCAGCTACTACAATCACATTGTGCTTTGTTCGCAGATGACTTGAAAGTGTGGAGAGTAATCCGCACACTCAATGATTGCGATTTACTTCAGCAGGATCTCGACCGCCTCTCGACATGGTCTGCAGAGGTTAACCTTCCGATCAACCCTGCCAAGTCGCAATTCATGAGGTTGGGTAAGTGTGATCCCGGCCGAACGTACACAGTGGCTGGAAAACCGTTGCATCCCGCTCCTTTCGTGCGCGACCTCGGTGTACTCTCACGCTGCGACCTAAAGTCCATTGACAACACGAATAGGCTGTACCAAAACAGCCTCCATATGCATTGGGCTCTCAGGCGCAGCTTTAGCACTTGGTCCGAAGAGATTGCCACTCGCCTCTTCGTCTCGATAATACGACCAATGCTAGAGTACGGCACTCCAGCATACTGTCCCATCACGCGGGGAAAAGTAGAAAAGCTTGAGCGGGTGCAGCATGTAGCCACTAGGCTGATTCCCAACTTACGAGGTATGCCATACCAAGACCGATGTAAGAAACTAGGGTTATACACCCTATCTTATCGTCGGCTGAGGGTTGACCTCATCATGACGCACCGGATATTACATCTGGGTGATTACCCCATGTTGAGACAACTACTTCATCTGCGCACAACAAGCTGCACGCGAGGACACCGGTATAAACTTATCGTCCCAGATTTGAAGCGGGTCGCCCATCAACTCTGTTTCGAACGTAGAGTGGTGAATGTCTGGAACGACATGCCTCAGCATATAGTAGAAGCGAACACCGTGTCTAAATTCAAGATGCTACTAGACCAACAATTTGCAGAGGCAAAGTAAAAAGAGCGAAACGATAAATAAAAAGTTCATGCCCGAAAACGACGAATGATGCAGGTACACAGAGCAACCTCTACTCGCTGCTTCGCACCAGTTCTCAGTTCTCAGTTCATCATCATCATCATCCTCATCATCATCCTCATCATCATCATCCTCATCATCATCATCATCATATACGTTAGCTAGAGGTGGAAAACACCTCAGCTACTGCGCCGCAATACATAAAAACAAGGGGAAAATACAACAGGTGCAAGCCAGCTGAGCTACCGGTAACGGATGACCATCGTTCCGGTAAGTTACCAGCCGGCTACTGTGCATCAGAAAAAAAATTATGCAAAATTATATAGAGCTAAATAATGAGATCGTGGTTAGAGGGGGAGGCTAAGAGGGAAGGGGTGGGACAAAGAAACTCACAGCACGAACGCCACTGAGGTCGGCTCCTAGCCATATCACCAAGTGTGTCCAACCAAACGTGTTCATCATCCTTCGGACGCCAACCAGGGAGCCGAGACACTCCAAGCGAGGACAGCTTCGAAGTGAGGGATTTCATTCCTCTGGACAAAGTCAAGGCTTGGCCACCTCTCCTCTTCTTCCACCCACATCCCCGGTGAGCAAACAACGCACGTCGAGGGAGTCGATGGGCTGGCATGCGCAACACGTGGCCCAGCCATCGGAGCCTGGTGCATGAAATAACGGTGCTGAGCGGTTCAGTTCCTTTTCCTGTGCCGTAAACAAGGCGTCGAACACGCTCGTTGCTCACGCGGTGTTCCCACCGGGTATGAGCTAAGTTGCGAAGGCACCGGTGGTCGAACGTAACTAGCCTATTCAGGTCCGCTGCTTTAAGCAGCCAGGTTTCACAACCGTACAGTAGAGTCGAACGTACCGCTACATTGCACACTCTAACCTTCAGGGCAAGTGTGATATCGCGCCGCCTCCATAAGTGGCGAAGGTTAACAAAAGCGCCTCAAGCTTTTGCTATACGGTTCGTGATCACATCTCCAATCCCACGGGTGCTGATACAACTTCCACAGTAGTTGAATTTCTGAACGACTTCTAGCTGATCCCCACCAAGGGTCAGTGCAGGAGGCGGTCCAGACCAATCTTGGAGGAACGCATTGCACTTCGAGGGTGCGAAGGCGAAGCCCGAAGTGACGGACAGCTAGTGCTAATCTGTTCAGTGCAGCTTGGCACGTTTGTGAGCTGTCACAGATTAGGGCAATATCATCTGCATACTCTAAGTCAAGAAGTCGTTCTCCTGGGAGGAGCTCCACACCTTCTAAGTCGTGTCCTGTGAACGCGATTTCCATGACTTAGTCATCAGCGAAATTGAAGATGAAAGGTGACAACGGGCATCATTGTCTCACACCGCTGGAGATAGTAAAGGGCGGCGACAACTTGCCGTAAGCCCTCACTCTGTCCGAACTACGAGCATATAATGCTCGGACGACATTTACATATACACATTACATACATTCACATATTCACCGACTGAAACCCCAACTTGAAACCGACACATAGCAGTACTCATCGTAGTGAAACAATGTGAAGCGGCTCATCGCACAAATCATGCACGTGACTCACGAGGAGATCAGTCGAGCAAGCACATCCAACTGAAACAGCATTGAGAAGAACATATGTCGGCCCAGTGTGTAGACATGTGAGAGCCCCGATCTGAGACTGCTACGAGAGGCGGTCAAAAGGCTGGTGCATAGACGTAGGAGGGACGTAGTGCCGTGCCGTTGATGTGGTGGTCTACGGTGGTGCATGATGATGGTGCGTAAGACAGTCGGAAGTCTGGATTGAAGTGCATTGAGCAATCCATTCTGGCACGCGAGGCAATGAGGCACGTTCAAGCCGATCCCGGCACCGATCACTTCGGTTGAGTAGAAGTAGGCTGAGCCAAGGTCTGAGGCCTTTGCTTCGGAAGATATCGCTACCCTATCCGTGACTCTCGGTGGAGGCGCTAGTGATGCGGCGACCGGAGAAGACGGGCCAAAACGGTAGCGAAGTCGGTGATAGGAAGAGCGTTCGCGGTTCCGGACGATAAAGGAGGAGAGTGGGGGATTTCGATGAAGTTGGCATGCAATGAAACCTGTAAAGTAAGTGAGACTAGATATAGCCGTTCCACCAAATAACACATTCATGACAAAACGGAGGTTGGACGACCGTCAGACTAAACGGAAACTCACCACGCGTGGCTAAAAAGCGTAGAGCGTCCGTATACCCTTGAGTAACTAAGCTCATAAACGTCTCTGGGTCGGGCATCCAAAGCATGCTGACAAAGCGTTTGAAATTGTTCCAATTTAGGTGGAAGCTATTGCCGAAAAAGAAGATAGTACCCAAAACTGTCTCGACCTGCTGTGAAGCCAAATTACGGTAACCACATTCCCACTCAGCGTTCATGGGACAAATATCCGCCTCACCGGTAAAGGGGCTGACAGTAATAGTCATGCGGTCCAGACAAAGCAGATTGTTTGAGAAGGCGCCGTCCAAAACAAGCTGAGCATAGGAGCGTAGAGCAAGAGGATAAAAGACTTGGTCGTGTAATAATAAACGGTGTTTTAGACCGCAAATTGGTAACATACATACGTAACTGGGATGGTAATGCAGATACACGGTGTGTATAGGAAAAATCGAAGTGTGGTAACGGCCCGCAGCGAATGATTGGCATTATGAATGGACACACAACTGAACGGATCACCTTCGTTAGAGGAACAAAGAAAGCAGAGGGGAAAAAAGTTGCGGAAAACAAAAAATGCTCCGAGCGTGTTGCCGAGCGGTAGGCAAGACGGTCACAGCGCGTTGCGGAACACCTAATAGCAGCAGTAGTACACGATCCCCATGTACAGATTGTTCGATAGCACACAATTATTATAGCTTACTAGTAAAGAAGAAACATAGGATGTGGGAGGGAAACCAGTGGTAAATAGTAAATATCACAAGCAACCTATGATTATCATCAGGTATATAAAGCTTGATTTGACTGGAGGATATCTGTGAGATAATATCATCGACATTCTCGTATCGCTTTGCAGCATAATCAAGTTTAACTCGCGGAGAACACAGTATCAGGACCCGATTTAAACGGGGATTCAAACTGGAAGACTACTACAAACGAAGTAATTGTGGTTGGTGGTCACCTGCCATCTCCTGTGAAGTTTATGGTTAAAGATAGAGTGGATCGTGTGTCCTCCATATATACCCCAGGTCGGCTCGTAGCCTAGAGGTAACGAGCTTATCTTGTAATCTTGTGGCGCGGGTTCGAATCCGCGTAGGAGTAGGCGTCCTTGCGGTATACTCAGCCCGAGTACGACTGGTGGTGGTCGCACAGCAGCGAAGCGCCGTTACAGCGTACAGCCGACACATTATTATTACCCGCGGGCTTCAGTCAAGAGGTCAGTGGCTTCATTTCCAGGTTCTAAGATAATGACACCTCCCCAAGTCTTATGTCACCGTCGATCAGCAACCGAGAAGTGATGAATGGGCATACGGAACATGCATGACAGTGCGCTGAACCGGCGTTTCGCTGACACACGACCACCACCAGAAAAACGTGCGTTATGGATATTACAAACCGGTTTGAAAACAACCGGTTAGTGCAGCTGCAGGGCAACGTTTCGCTGACACAAAACCTACGTCATGCCAAGTAAACCAACGCGTGATTGGTGTGGTGACACGGACTCTCGCTTCACAATCAACTGATTTAGCCAAGCTACGGTGTGCAATTAACAGATACGTAGTATGTGTGCAGTTGTTAAGTCGAGAAACTCGCTGCTGAGCCGAGAGCTCTTTGGATGAGTCAAACGGAGAGCCGTAGAGAGGCAATTCTAATCTGGGCCTATAAGTTAGACGGATCTATTGGCGCTGAGGTTTGCAGGTGCGAGCAGTGCATGGGACCCTATAACTTCACATTTAATGTGGTAACATTATTCATCCAGTAGAATGTGTAACTCGCACCAGCCTCACGCAGCTTGCTTTGATCAGCGAGCCCAGTTTAAGTGAGAGCTACTATGGCGATCCCGTAGCGCAGGAGTTCTATCGCAACCAGTGCAGTGCGTCCCCGAATACACTCACTCGTGTTGCGGTCTAGTGATGTGTGCGCAAGTTTCAGCACCAGATGTTAAGCGCTCTGCACGGAGGCATACGACTACGTTGGCGGAAAATTGTATGGATCGATATCTGGACTGCAGAAACTAGTGGGTTGGGCAAAATAATGGCGAAGAGAGTAAGTGCGGGAGAAGACAAAAAGGGAGGCGTTAGCGGTAACGTGTTTTCACTTGCCCACCAAACTGAATGCAGTAGATAAGGTGACCATTTTCATATAGCAACTGAGCGACGGCCGACGCAGCATGGGATTGTTTAAACTATTAGTGTGATTTGTGGTTGAAGTTTGCCCAGCTTACCTCCAGGGCGGCCAAATCTGACAGAAAAACAACCAAGGACCACAGATATAGCCCTCCTTAAAATGCACACCCGAAAGACAGCGGGCCATGCACAATAACTCAGTGAAACAAAACATGCAAAAATTGTGCGTGTACCGGTTTTTGGAAAGAAGGGGGTAAGCCTACTGCCACCAAGCGATTGCCAGGCGACCAGGACGCACTCACAGCGTACCAATAAACGCAGCAGGTCAAAGGCTTCGTAGGATCTAACCCCCAAAACTCAAAGTCTATTCTGGACGATACCGCCCAGAGCGGCTACTGTGGTGACATGGGCTCATGTCCTGGACGCCTCCATGTGGCGACCGTTGGGTGGGAGTTGGGTTACGCCCTTCTCCCTGCTAAGATGCAGGACACCAATCCGCATCAGTCAGATATCTGACTATGTGCTAGACCCGCAGCCTTTCGGCTGTACATTTAATCGAAGGCTTTGGCTGAGGACCCGAGTCATTCTCCTGTCAGGTGTGAGCGCCATGTCAGTATCCTAGTCCATCCTCTTCGGAGGTTAGGAAGTCATCGATGGTCCACTTCTCGTAAAACCTAGCCATGGAGACAACAGGTCTATGGGGTATAAGCTCATCGCTTGATTGGAGTAAAGTACGAGCGCCACGCATTATCTCTGACGGTGAGAGGGTACCTCCGGATGTTCAATGGTTCGCTACTGCCCCTCTCAAGCCAAGCAGCCCCTGGGCAAATTGGTGCAAACTCGCCAAAACCATCCTATGGCCGCGTTGGTCGGCCGGTGGCCGAGTGGTCTGCACGTTTGCTTTGCAACCATAAGGTCACCGGTTCGAATTCGCGTAGGGGTGGGAGTCCTCGCGGTATACTCAGCCCTCGCGCGACTGGTGGTGGTCGTGCGGCAGCGAAGCGCCGTTAAGGCGTACAGCTGACATTGTGGTAGCAGAGGAGTATACTAATACGGTCACAAAACATATGAATCGCTCTGTTAAATCAAAGTCTGCGTGTGACAGACCTCGAGGAGATCCCAATCTGTCTCTGCAATCACATTCCTAAACTGGATCTACATCTACTGTCTTATGGGTCAGGTTATTGAGCCAAAGGCTCCCACCGGAGTCCCTCAAGCAAATCTCCAAATAACCCACTGCTTTGTAGGTCAGGCTACTGAGCCAAACGCTCCAGGCTGATTCCCTCAAGCAAACCTACAAATCACATACTGCCTTGTGGATCAGGCTATTGAGTCAAAGGCTCCGGACAGAGTCCCTCAAGCAAACCTACAAAGCAAAACCACCACCTCGGGTGCGATTGCTCACCAATGAAATCGCATACATGTGCGCAAAGCACTCAGCATCGGGTGCTGGAACGTGCGCCCTCTACTGGACCGGAACTCGAGTGAGCGCCCCCAGTAACACACTGCACTGGTTGCGATAGAATTGGCGCGCTAACACATTGATATTGCGGCGCTCAGTGAGATCTGGCCCTGGTAAGTTGCATAAAGCTGGTTCTGGCTACACGTTCTACTGGGTGGCTGACGCCGCCTCAGCACCACGTGAACATGGGGTTGGATTTGCAATATCCGATCGCGTAAATGGCTACCTGGTTGGTGAAACAGCAGGCATCAGCGCGCGATTGATGACTGTTTGCCTACGACTCGAAAGAGGTAAATTGGCCACCTTTATAAGCATGAACGGTCCGACCATGTGTTATCCTGATGACACGCCTGATCAACCATACACTCAGATATCCTCCGTGATACGGTCTGTGCTGATGAGTGACCGACTGCTGTGTGATTTCAACGCGCGCCTTGGGCGTGATGCATTGGTGTGGACAGACGCTATCGCTCCGCATGGGATTGGTTCAGCGAATGCGAACGGTGACAGGCTGCTCTCACTAGTGCCGCCCACAGCATGGTGATCACGAACACTCGGTTTGCACTGAGTGCGAGTGCACTCATGGAGTCGTCACACTCACCTGCTCGACTATGTCATCGTACGTCAGCATGATATGCGTTAAGCGCGCATGACACGTGTACTGCGTGGAGCTGAGTATGGCACTGAGCACAATTTGGTACGGACCAAGCTGTACATATATTTTCGGACATCTGTGTATTGCACTGCCGCCGTGAATCGGTGTAAATTTAACCTTATCTTAATTGGAACTGTGGCGAAACATACTGAGCTGGAGAAGTCGATTGCTGTACACAGGTGTAAGGTGGAATGCGTAGCCACAGTGAGCGGATTTTGGCACCACATTTGCGATTAGATGACGACTGCTGCCGAGGATACCCTGAGACGATGTACTGCGGTTCTACTCATTACCTGAAGTACACAGAAAGTAGAGTGTCTCTCTTCTCTATCGGGTCACTGTCGACAGCACCGAACTATGACAGAAGTTTGAAGGAGCTATGGAACGGATTAGAACATCCAATTGTGGAATCAGTACACTAGATAAACTCGGCAAAAGCTCCCAGTAAAACTCAAAACACAACCAGAGGACGGGACGAAATAATATTCGCCTTTAGTGCAGCGGCTTTTTCCACATCAGTTGGCATCAACCATCATCACAAATACACGTTTGCCGAGGATGAGAAACACACCTCAGCTAATGTGCAGCAACACGAAAAGTTAAGACACTGAGCAATGTAGACTTAAAGGCTATAAAATGTAACATAATGTTGATATCACATTTTTTGTGGACG